CCGGATTAGGATAATTGCCATCATTCCCCCGTCATCCCCAGGAGGCCCCCTCCTCTCCCAGGTGCCCCGACCCCTCTCTCTGGGGCAGAGAGGTGGAGGCGTGTCGCCCACGCAGCAGCCGGAGCATGGCGCTTGCCATCCAGCAAGGACGGTAAATGAATGAGTGAAATACCTGTAGACGCAGCTCCGGGTTCTGGGAGAATTCCGAACCGGAACCCGCCAGTTAGGCCCCAGCGTGGCATAGAGACGGCCCCTGCTTTAGAGGAAAAGGGTTGAATTTTAGCAACGGCCTAGGAAGACCAGATTCTGCCGAAGGAGGCAAGAGTGCCGCAGACCCACGGTCATTAGCTCTTAGTCCCCAGGGCACCCAACTCCCCCAGCCCCTCTCCTGCCTCCTTGGTCATGCTGCAAGCATCAGGAGCCGCCAGGTCAGTGAACACAACTCCCCTGGGGGCCTCGATCTGGGGACATCCCAAGTGTCCAGGTAATTATCGCGTTCACGTGTTACTGAATGTTCACCCTTTCCCCGCGTCACGAGCATGACTAAGATCCAGGCATGGCCTTACCAGTTTGGGCTGAGCAGGGTAAGAGAAACGCTGCATGTCCCAGTCCCCGGCCAGGCCACCTTAGAGGCCCGTGCAGACACAGGGCTGTGGGCAATCTCTCCCGTGGGGTCTGGGGCATGAGCAGGGGCACTGTTCGCCAGGGCACAGTGGGGCTCCTCTGTGTGCTCTGTCCTCTCCCTCAGCCTCCTCTGCAGGCTCCAGCCAGCCCCTGCAAGCTTGCCCTGTGACCTGCTGCAGCACCCACGCGACCCGGCTCCAGGACCACTCCGTGTGCTGCCCGGCAGTGAGCCTCAGGGAGCGCGTGGCTTCCTGCCCACCTCTTTGGGGGCGGCACCGTCTTGTCCTCCCTTTATCCTGTCTTAGAAGACGCATGTCCTGGATCCTTGTGCTGTTCCGACCTTCGTGTGGTGTGGACTCTCCCTCAACTATAGATGGTCCTGCCCGCTTTGGAAAGTCATACGAGGTCTAGGCTCTGTTCTGCACACCCCATCTCGGGCTGCTGCATCTGGTCCTGTGACCCTGGACAGCTAGGTGGTGACTCCGTCCCCCTGCAGAGTGGCTCTTGTGATGGTCATGGGCTGACCCCACCCCTGTGAGTTGAACAGAGGTCCTGGTCTGTTCAACTCCCAGCCACTGGTCAGGCACCTCCTCCCTTCTCCCCACTTGGGAGGCTGGAATGTGGCGAGTCAAGGTGAATCCACAGGGCACCAGGGCTCAAGCCACGCGTCCTTGTGCCTTCTGCTGAGCCTCACCATGGGGCAGAGCCAGTGGCACGGCAGGTTGCCAGTGCACCTGCACGGTGCCGCTGCGGGCAGCAGGGGCCTCCAGGATTGCTCTTCTTCCAGACCATCACCAGGGCTTTCTTCTGAGCCAGGTTTGACCATGAACTTTCCTGCGGTGACACCTTTAGTGGCGTTGGCCACTGTCCGGGGTGGGGCATCTCATCCGATCTGATTCCTGCTCTGAGCTGCTGCCTGTTCCCCTCTGACATGGAGAACATGCGAGGATGGAGGACCGTGTGCAGTTCCCATGAGCTCCTCAGGCAGGGCTGGGTGGCCAGGCAGGGCCGGGTGGCCGGAGCTGGAGCCTTCTTGCTATTGTCCTCTCCTCGTCCTCGATGCACATCTAACGATGTCTGGCAGAACTGAGTTCGCCCGGGAGAGGCTGAACGTGGCATCTTCCAGTCGGTCTCCCTGTGAGCAGTGGCTCCTCGGGCCCTTCCTGAAGGGGCGAGGAATTCCTGGATGCAGTGAGCTCATGGGGGAGTGTGGGGTCACGTGGGTCACTGGGGTGGCTTGCCGACAGAACAGAGGTCTTGGGCCACTAACTACACTCCCACTGAAGCTGTCATTAAGCACCATTCCCTCCCCCCATGAGGAAACTGAGGCTCAGTGATGTGGGACAACTTGACCAAGGTGCCAGCCTCGTAAATCAGGACTTGAACCCAGGTCTGTCTGACTCCACAGCCCATTCCTCCCACTCTGGGTGGAGGGAGGGGCAGCGGCGTCCATGTAGTGGGGCCAGTGCTGGGGGCCTCCTGGCTTTCTACTCTCGGAGGCACCTCCACTGTGGGTGTCCGCCTGCAGCTCAGGCTGGCTGGGCTTTGTCAGTGCCCGTGAAGCTGTGTGGCCACCGCCTGGGCGCCTGGGCCCCCGGCCCCCTGGCCCCGGGCTTCCCGATGGAGTTGTCTCTGGGTGGTTTCGGCTGCCTGGCACGTGAGAGCTGCTGCCCTCTATCAATTGCTCACTCTGTGTCAACGAAGTGCTCTCCCACGAGACCCCCGGGCTCACGAGAAGAGCACCGTCTGCACGCCCCATTTTAGATGCAGAAACTGAGGCTCGAGGAGGTGGAGCCACCTGTCCCAGCCAGCTGGCCTGTTAGAGATGGAGACACAAGCACCCTCAAAGGGAGGCTGGCTTTCCTGGGTGGGCCGGGGCTGGTGCTGGGCTGGCTGCCCCCGGCTGAGGGTGCCAGGTTTGCTCCCTGGAGCCAGGCAAGGGACCCCGGGCCTTGAAGGACAGGACATTGGTTTCTTTGACCCAGGTCTTCTCTAGGAGAACGAATCAGCATTGTGGCCCACCTGCCCTCCCACGTGAGCCCCTACGGAGCTGACGTAGGGCTGTGATGGGCGGGCAACTCTGGGTGGCCCGAGAGGCTAGTGTCAGCACAGAGCCAGGCTCTTCAGATGCTGGGACCGGACAATCTGACCACTCCCTGCTTTGACAAGTTCTGTCATTTGAATGTTCAGGTCCAAAAAATGCAAAAGCAACAGCAGCCCGGTAAACCCCAGAAACCATAGATTTTTCTGCCTGACATGGGGCTTCCACAGCAGAACCTATAGATTCATCTTTCCCAGCATCACTCAGAACACACAGTAAAACACAATGTGTCCCTGGAAGGTCATCTGACTGTCCCTTCTCACGCATGGATCCTGGGGGCCAGAGGAAGCGGCCGCAGGCCAGGAGCTCCTGGGAAGGAAGTTTGGTCTAGAGAAGATGGAGACCAGCCACCAGGCAGGGCGTGTAAGGTGGTGCTGAGGGTGGGTGGTGGTGGTGGTGGCGGTGGGATGATGAGGTCGTGATCATGGTGACGATGACGGTAATGGCGGTGGTGATGGATGAGAGTACCGGGTAATGTGCTAAGCAGGACTCACTCATTCTCTCACTTGACCCTACAATACTGTAGCCACTATTATCATCCCACCTTACAGGTCTGAACCGAGGCCCAGAGAGGTGGAGTCACTTGCCCAAGGTCACACTGCTAGAAGAGGAAGAGCAGGTGGCGCTGTGGTGGCAGCAGGCAGGGCACTGCTTGGGCCAAGAGCCTTACGAGCATTAGACTACTCTCTTCAGAGGGAGGTCTAAAGGGCCGTCTTCCCTGCAGTTTTCTAGGTACATGTTAGGCTGCAGGTATCTTGGGGGCTGTACTACATAATGCCCTGAGTCCCTGTTGCTGGTCTAGGAGGCTGGGAGCAGACAGAAATATTGGGTAATAATTACACTGAAGCCTCAGTAATCTCAGTCTTAGCAGTAGGACTCCCCTGCCCCCATCCTTCTGTCACAAGAACCCAGAGCCCCTGGAGGGATTGTACTGACGGAGGGTCTGGGTGACGCTATTCCCGTAGTGTTCACCTACACAGCAAACCTTAATGGAAGCCAGTCCCGTTAGGCCACAGTTTGTCCTGGCCACTTCCTGATGATTCACCCTCCTCTGTAGGCGGGAAGCTGCCGTCCAGAATTCTGTTGTGCTCTGGGACATCTCATCTAGTGCTGTTTTTTGTTTGTTTTTGTTTTAAATTGCTTAAGGACATGTATACTTGCCAGAGGGATACAAAGAGAGAGAGAGAGAGCGCGCGAGCGGGCGAGCATCCCCCAGGGGGACGTGGTCACACAGCAATCCCTTCTCCTCCATTTCTCCATCCTGTTGGGATTTGGGCCATGCATGCATATGTGGCTGGTGCGTGTTTTTTATTTTATTTTTGAAGAGGTTTATTTATTTATTTATTTTTTACTTTTTATTTTATTTTGGAGAGGATATTTTTGCAATAGGGCACATGTGCTAGCCAGAAAGACAGAGAAAGGCAGAGAGACAGAAAGAGAGAAATCACCCCCCAGGGGGGATGGCCACGCCGCAATCCCTTCTCCATTCTTCTCTCGGGATCTTGGGCACGCACGCACACGCGCCTGGCGTGAGTTTAAGTCACCGGGTCCGGCACTCGAACCGCAGTCAACTACATGGGAGTCCAGCAACACAGCCATTACGCCAACTTCTGGTCCCAACCTGGTGTGTTTTTCAAGCCATTAGGACTGGAGTTTGAACGATGGTCGGCCATGTGGGATCAGTTCCCTCAAGCACTAGGCTAGAGCTGGCCCTCTCAGAAGGGGTGGGCGCCAGGCCTCAGTACTTGCTGAAGGATCTTTGCTTTCTGCGAGACACCGCCTCGCCTTCCCTGGGGAAGTCCCTGACTCACTAGGCAGGTCCTCAGGAACCGAGTCTATGCTGTGTGTCCTATCTTGACAGCTGAGAGGGCAGGACTAACCAGATTCTCTCTCCTGGCCATTAGGAACCAGATTTGAGTGGCTGGTCAAACTCTCATGTAAACATGGGAGCCATGAGGTATCCATCTTCCCCTCTGTGCACTGAAAAGTCCTGAAGTCTGGCCTGCACTGAGACGGGACTGATTCCAGCAGAGGAGCCAGGAGGAGGACAGACAGGAGACAGAGGATGCCCTGCCCACCTTCTCCAGCTGACTCGAAAGGAGCCCCAGGGGCCAGAGAAGCCGAGCCCCGAGGTTTCTCAACTCCCCATCAAGCAGCAGCCACTGGCCAGGGCCCAGCCTCGTCTGCCAAGGCCCGAGGTCAAACAAAAAGCCTTGGGACCTGGAGACCAGGGGCCTTTGCCCACTTTTCTGTCAGAGGAGTCGCTGGGTGGACCCTCCCTCGGGACTTGAGCGTCTGGAGCTGAGAGAGTGAGGCAAGAGACTGGACCTGTGAGGGAACCCCCGATCAGACCAGCAACAGATCACTTGTGTGGCGCCCACAGGCTGGACAGAGCAGCCGACCCAGGCGCAAGGCAGCGGGATCTGGGAAAGGGCACCAGGCCGGGGGGAGGGCGCTGGGCCTCGGCCACAGGTCGGTGGGCGGCGAGTTTCTCTGTGTCCCCCGAGAACGCACTTGCACAGGCCATGGCC